ACAACAGTAATTAAAAAAAATGCTTAGAACCATTACAACACTAATGACACCATAAATCAATTGTATGCTACCAGTATCTTGGAAGAAAAAGAAAAGCAAACCCAGAAAAAAATCAATACCTTTCACTGGGCAGCCACCTCACTCCCTAATAAATCAAGACCATATCTATTTATAAAACTCTGCGACAGAAGCTTGGTTGGAAGCATTTTTAATGAATGCCAGCTATCTGACGTTATTGATTCTTACCAAGATGCTCATCTCGCCGACCAACGTATAAATCACACTGCTCGTCCAAGCTTAGCACAAAGGGGAATGTTTGTGCGTATACTTTTAGAGCAAGTCAAGAGTGAAGGTGTGAGATTACTTGGATTCTATTGGGAGGAGCTAGAGTGGCAGAGAAAAGTGTTCCTGGCAGCCCACAGCCAAAGAGAGTACTCGAGGATAAGCTTCATTGTGTTGGAGATACGGGGAGGGCCCTAGGTCAGGCCTACTGTGATGGGGAGACCATTCCAACCACTGCTACAGGAGCCATGGCCAGTATGGCAGCCACTTCCACAGGTGTGTGTGTGTGTGTGTGTGAGTGCGTGCGTGTGTGTGTTGCCTGTGACAGCATTCAGCAAGCAAACTCTCTCCATAAGGGGTTTTGTGGGTCAGAGGACCTCAGCCCTGATGCCGGTGACGCAAAAGCATCTATAGTCTGTTCATCAGCAAGTGGTTTTATCTGGGTCCCAGGGAAACCTTATTTACAGAAAGGATGGCGGGCCAGATTGGACCGAAAAGTAGAGGTTGGCCGGCCTCCGAAACAGAGGGCCAGAATGGGAAAACCTGAACTGGGAGATGCTTGTTTTATCTTGGTTCAGTCTGTCAGCTTAGCCACTCCGTCGTGTCCGACTCTTTGTGACCCCGTGGACTGCAGCACGCCAGGCCTCCCTGTCCATCACCAACTCCCAGAGTTCACTCAAACTCATGTCCATTGAGTCAGTGACGCCATCCAACCATCTCATCCTCTGTCATCCCCTTCTCCTCCCACCTTCAATCTTCCCCATCATCAGGGTCTTTTCCAATGAGTCAACTCTTTGCATCAGGTGGCCAAAGTATTGGAGTTTCAGCTTCAGCATCAGTCCTTCCATAGAACACTCAGAACTGATCTTTAGGATGGACTGGTTAGATATCCTTGCAGTCCAAGGGACTCTCAAGAGTCCTCTCTGGCACCATGGTTTAAAAGCATCAATTCTTTGGTGCCCAGCTTTCTTTATCTTGGTTAGTGTGTGTGTTATCTGGAGTATGTGCAAGTTTTGTATTCTTTTACTTGAATAAAATCTCATCAGCATCCAGGTTATACTCTTGCATTTATCTGAGATTGTGTGTTCCACTTTCATCAACTTGGGTTTCTCTTCTATTCAGCAGTGCTTATGATATAGTAGAATTTGAATTAAAAAAAAAAAACTTGCATCTGTAGTTATTGCTTCTAAAGTTTGAAAAATATGGGCTGTACTTTACTAATTGCGACCCTGTGGACTGCAGCCCGCCAGTCTCCTCCATCCATGAAATTCTCCAGGCAAGAATACTGGAGTGGGTTGCCATTTCCTTCTCCAACTAGTTGTTCTTAACTGGCACTTTATGGAAAATTATTATGTACCAAATCAGCAAAATAAATGATTGGTCACCAGACAGATGTAAAAATATCTGTACCAGGTCTTACTTGCAGCAAGCAGGATCTTTGATCTTTGTTGTGACATGCATGTTCTTTTCAGTTGTAGCATGAGAACTCTGAGTTGCAGCATGTGGGATCTATTTCCCCCGACCAGGGATCGAACCTGGGAAGCTTGGAGTCTCACCACTGGGGGGAATGTCCCAGTAAACAGATATTTAGCTGGAAAACAAATAAGCTTTCCCTTAGACATTTGAATAGATACAAACTTAATTTGAAGGAAGAGTATTTAGGCTTCTTTTTAATTTATTTTTTTTTTGAGAAAGATACTTTGCGTGTGTATTACACATATATGTGAAAAACTGCTTGCTCATGAAAAAGTATTATTCCTATTAAGTCTGAATTTCAAGTATGATTGTAAGCCACAGAGGTAATTTCTAACAGTAAAGCAGAGAGAGTAAGCCACGAAGGCCATCCTTGAGTTTTCCGTGAGCTCTTTCTTTTTTTTTTTTTTTCCATTTATTTTTATTAGTTGGAGGCTAATTACTTTACAACATTGCAGTGGTTTTTGTCATACACTGAAATGAATTAGCCATGGATTTACATGTATTCCCCATCCCGGTCCCCCCTCCCACCTCCCTCTCCGCCCGATCCCTCTGGGTCTTCCCAGTGCACCAGGCCCGAGCACCTGTCTCATGCACCCAACCTGGGCTGGTGATCTGTTTCACCCTTGATAATATACATGTTTCGATGCTGTTCTCTTGAAACATCCCACCCTCGCCTTCTCCCACAGAGTCCACAAGTCTGTTCTATACATCTGAGTCTCTTTTTCTTTTTTTGCATACAGGGTTATCGTTACCATCTTCCTAAATTCCATATATATGTGTTAGTATACTGAAATGGTCTTTATCTTTCTGGCTTACTTCGCTCTGTATAATGGGCTCCAGTTTCATCCATCTCATTAGAACTGATTCAAATGAATTCTTTTTAATGGCTGAGTAATATTCCATGGTGTATATGTACCACAGCTTCCTCATCCATTCGTCTGCTGATGGGAATCTAGGTTGCTCCCATGTCCTGCCTATTATAAACAGTGTTGCGATGAACATTGGGGTGCACGTGTCTCTTTCAGATCTGGTTTCCTCAGTGTGTATGCCCAGAAGTGGGATTGCTGGGTCATATGGCAGTTCTATTTCCAGCTTTTTAAGGAATCTCCACACTGTTTTCCATAGTGGCTGTACTAGTTTGCATTCCCACCAACAGTGTAAGAGGGTTCCCTTTTTATGTTAAAAGTGAAAGTGAAGTCGCTCAGTCATGTCTGACTCTTTGTGACCCCGTGGACTGTAGCCTACCAGGCTCCTCCTTCCATGTGATTCTCCAGGCAAGAATAGTGGAGTGGGCTGCCATTTCCTTCTCCATTGTTTATGTTGGCATCCTGCTATTTTCGTATTCTAAGCAGTTTGCTTTCCCTGAATCAGTGGCTAAATAATGGCAGTGTGATAACAGGAATATATCCTTGTGATAAACACCTAGTTTTTACAGATCATCTGTATTGTCCTTGTGTGTGCAATGGAAAATTCATTTGTTTAAATGTCATAAAAGACTGCTTTGATTAATGTCATCAGTGACTTAGAATGAGATTCTGTTTCCTGAGATAAAAGAAGGAGTTGTGATGTTAAACAGTGTTCAGGAGAAACCGAACAAGGGGAAAAACACTTAGGTTCTCTTTTATTATTTAGAGATTTATCTATGCGGTAACTCTCAGAGCCAAGGGAAAAATAAGTCTGTGTCTGAGGCAAAGGAAAATTAATAACTTGTGAATATACCCCTTGTCATTAAACCATATTTAAAGATATATTGTTTTATCAATATACTCCATGTCATTAAAACATATTTAAAGATATATTGTCTTATCAATAGACCCCCATGTCATTAAAGCATATTTAAAGATATATTGTCTTATCAATAGACCCCCATGTCATTAAAGCATATTTAAAGATTGTCTTATCATTTGTCAAATTCCACTATATCATAAGCACTGCTGAACAGAAGAGAAACCCAAGTAATGAACAATGTAATTTATAGATGGTAAAACAGATGGAGAATGTAATTTGGAATGTAATTATAGAAATTTTCATTTCAATATCTTAGTTTTGACAATGCACCTACAATTAATCTTTTTTTTATTTTTTGGCCACGTTGAGTGTTTGTAGCATGGGCTTTCATGGTGAGGAGGGGATACTCTCCAGTTGAGATGCTTCTCTTCTCATTGTGGTGGCTCTGCCTGCTGTGACTTCCAGGCTCACAAGATGTGCAGGCTCAGTAGGTGTGGCTCATGGACTTTGCTGGTATGTGGAATCCTCCCAGACCAGCGATCGAACCCATGTCCCCCTGCATGGCCCGGCAGTTTCTTAACCAGTGGACCACTAGGGAAGTCCAATAATTTTTTTTTTTAAGTAGAAAGTTTCTTATGAAACCCCAAGAGCAGCTGTAGACAGCTGTGTAAGCAGAAGGGAGGGCTGGAAGGGAGGGGATCGCACTCCGTATAAAAACCCACAGAGCTCCCTATGGTGACTGAAGGATGCTGGAAAGGGAATCGCATCTCATTCGGGAGGTTGCTTCATGAAGCTAGAACCTTGTGGTCCAGTGGTTAGGACTCCGCATTATCACCAATGACACTGTGGCTTCCCTGGTGGGGCAAGTAAGGTCCCTAACCTCAGGGGGCAGAGGAGGCAAAAACCTCTGGGACTTCCCCAGTGCCTCAGACGCTAAAGAATCTGCCTTCAGTGCAGGAGACGCAGCTTTGATCCCTGGGTCAGCAAGGCCCCCTGGAGAAGGAAGTGGCAACGCAGTCCAGAGTTCTTGCCTGGAGAATCCCATGGACAGAGGAGCCTGGTGGGCTGCAGTCCGTGGGGTCGCAAAGAGTTGGACACCACTGAGCGATTAACGCTTCACTTCACTTTAGGCTGGTGAAGCAGCTGATGAAGGATGCAGGATTGGTGGGAAGAAGGAATTTCTCCTCTTGCTACTCCCTGATAGTATGCGTGTGTGTGTGTGTGTGTGTGTGTGTGTGTGTGTGTGTGGTCTTGCTCTGCCACCCTTTGCTGCAGGAAGCTGTTTCCGTAGCCAGGTGTGTGTGTGTGTGTGCACGTATGTGTGTGTGTGTGTGTGTGTGGTCTTGCTCTGCCACCGTTTGCTGCAGGAAGCTGTTTCCGTAGCCAGGTGTGTGTGTGTGTGTGTGTGTGTGTGTGGGTGGTCTTGCTCTGCCACCCTTTGCTGCAGGAAGCTGTTTCCGTAGCCAGGTGTGTGTGTGTGTGTGTGTTTGTGTCTGTGTGTGTGTGTGGTCTTCCTAGGTCCGCCCCTCTTTGCCGCAGGAAGCTGTTTCCGTGGCCAGGCCACTGATGTCCTCGGGGTGGGCGGTCAGACCCGGGCCACACAGCGCCCGCACGGCGATGAGGACCTGATGGAAAGGGTCTCCTGGGGCCTCACCTCGCTCCCCCTCTGGCATCCTCTCCCCAGCCCACACCCCGTCTAAACACCCAGCAGAGGGGAACCCGTCCTCCTCAGGAGACAAGACGTGGCCCAGAGTCTCAGAGGAGACCCTGGGCAGAGGGCATCGTCTGATCCTGTGCAGGGCAGGGAAGTGGCCACAGCGCTCCGCTGTTGGGGCTTTCCCCCCGGGGACCCGGCCCCTGGCCGGCAGCTGGGACTTCTAGCTGAGGGCTTCTCAGTCTCGGCAGTAGTGAGATTTGGGGGTCCGGCTCTTCGTTTGTTGTGGGGGTCAGGGAACCACCCACTGCACTGCAGAGCAGAGCGTCTGGACTCTGCCCACTGGGTGCCCACAGCATCTCCATTCACCTGGCGTAACAACCAAAAATAGCAGCAGGGGCTGCCGTGTGTCTCCCGAGAGGCGACGCTGCCTCCAGGTGAGAGCCCCGTCCTGGAATCACACACACTCCTGGACTGGAACAGCTAGGGACCCAGAGAGGCCAACCTCTAAGGAGAAAGCAAGTGGGCAAACGTGCACCCACTGAGGCAGAATTGCAGAAAGGGCCCAAGAATCTAAATGTTATTGAATATACTCAGCGACATAATGCAAGAAGGTAGCATTATAAAGCAGGTAATAGCAAGTCATACAGATGAACCAAGTAGAAATGGGTAGTCTGGAAAACACGGTCCTGGGTGTTTAATCTCTCAGTTCTGTCCGACCCTTTTGTGACCCCAGGGACTGTCACCCACCAGGCTCCTCTGTCGGTGGACTTTTCCAGGCGAGAATACTGGAGTGGGTTGCCATTTCCTTCTCCAGGGAATCTTCTCAACCCAGGGATCGAACCCAGGTCTCCTGCGTTGCAGGCAGATTCTTTGCCAACTGAGCCAAAGGCTCAGTTAAAAAAGAATACAGGCGATGGACTGAGTGGCAGAATGAATACAGCTGAAAAAAGCATGCCGCATGGGTAAGCTGCAAGATCTGTTTTAAGACTTAAAAACGTCCGACGTTCTCTGTCCCATAAAACATCAGAGAAGTCTAAAAAGGAGAGAATTACAGCAGAAACACCAGGGACGTGCTGAACAGACTAGCAACACATAGAGGAGACCCAGAAAGTGAAAGGAAAAACGGAGAAGTGTTGTCAGAAAAAAAGTCATGAGAACTCTCCATTTATTAAAAAAAAAAAAATGAGAGAGACAAAGATGAGACATGTTTGGTTGAAATGGGTCCCACACGAGGACACATGATGAGGGGGAAAACGTCACAGGGCAAAACGGAGGGAATTCGGGAAGCTCCCAGGAAAAGGCAGGAGGTTTCCCTGTCTTGAACAAGACTCAAACTGACGACGCGATTCTCAACATCCGCTCTGACCTCTGAGAGGCCAGTGTCATGACTGAACATCTGCGTCCTCCCCAGTTTCGTATGTGGAGGCCCTAGTCCTTCACGTGATGATGTCTGGGAAGTGGTGGGGTCGTCAGAGGGGGATCCTCATGACGGGATTGGTGCCCTTATAGGCAGGGAATCAGAGAGCCTGCTTTCTGAGTCTCTCAGCATGTCCACGGAGAAAAGGGCGTGGGAAGGTTCTACCTGCAAGCCAGGAGGAAAGTTCTGCTAGGAAGCAGGTTGGCTGGCACCTTCACCTCAAACTTCTACCTTCCAGAACCTCAGGGAAAGACATTTCCCTGTCATTTAAGCCACCTCAGCTCTGGTATGGCGTTAGCCACAAATTTCATTCCAGTTTTTCCTGACGATCTTACAGAAAACCCGAACGAACTTTTCTGGCCTTCCCAACATTTTGTTACAGCCCTGGGAATGGACTGATGCAGTCAGACTAATATTTTTAGAATACCTTCAAACATTAGAAACCTTCCATCTAAGCAAAAATGTCACTTACATGTGAGAGTGTGGCAAGAATATTTTCAGGCGTGCTAGTTTTCAGAAGATTTTTCTAGACAAAAATCCACTTTGAAAATGGTCTGAAATATTGGTCAACTCCAGAAAGAGGCTGTAAGAAATATAGATGAAGGCAGGTGATACCTATTATGTTCATTTGTTCTTGTCTAATATAAGACCAGGGTAAGAAAAGAATAAGGCAAAGGAGATCTTAACCCAGAAGTAACATTCTAAACAGTATCAAGTGGTGAGTGACGGTGGAGAGATTAAAGGCATAGGAGAACTTGCTTAAATATGTGTCCTATTGAAGAAAGAGCTGCATACTCCTAAGTTTAAGAAACCAGTACTGAAAATCCTCCTTAGAAGAATAGCTATGACAAACCTAGACACTGTATTAAAAAGCAGAGACAAAAACAAAAACAAAAATAAATAAATAAATAAAAAGCAGAGACATCACTTTGCCAACAAAGGTGCTTATACTAAAAGGTAGGTTTTTTCCCCAGTAGTCATGTATGGATGTGAGAGTTGGACCATAAAGAAGACCAAGCGCTGAAGAATTGATGCTTTCGAACTGTGGTGTTGGAGAAGACTCTTGAGAGTCCCTTGAACGGCAAGGAGATCAAACCTGTCAATCCTAAAGGAAATCAACCCTGAATATTCATTGGAAGGACTGATGCTGAAGCTGCAATACTTTGGCCACCTGATGTGAAGAGCTGACTCATTATAGAAGACCCTGATGCTGGGAAAGATTGAAGTCAGGAGGAGAAGGGGACGACAGAGGATGAGATGGCAGGATGGCATCCCCGACACAGTGGACACGAATTTGAGCAAGCTCTGGGAGATGGTGAAGGACAGGGAGGCCTGGCGTGCTGCAGTCCATGGGGTCGCAAACAGTCAGACACCACTGAGCCACTGAACAACAGGGAACAACTGAATAAGGATCTTAATAAAGAGTGTCCACAAACAGAAGAAAAATAAAATGTGTTACATTTTACATCAGCAAGGGAGGGAAAAAAAATCATCTATCTAAAGGAAGCACAAAAGAGTGTAGAAACAAAGATATATTATAGCGAATAGAGATGTGTCATAGATGGTAGGACAAATGAATATATAAAAATTGAGAAATCCTATACTTACCAATTAAACTTTGGAGGCTACAAAATAACATTCAATCATTTGTTGCCAAGTAGAGTCATGCTTGTAGGCTAGAGAAAATATGAAAGTAAGTGGATATCCATTATGAGACAGTGAAGGATGCGGTAGCAAACTTAAAATAGGGCAATACAGATTTTAAGACGTATCGTGAAGGACAAAGAGATATACTAGATTGCATGAGGAACACTGCTATAGGAATTCCAAATCACTGTGACCGGGTATTATGGAGAAATAGATCTACCAACAGCTGTGGTTTGTGATTCTTTCAAGAAATTATTTGATAAAGCTGCCCCCCCCCAACACCATTATAAAGATCTGAATGATATGACTAATAACTTTGAGATATTATAGTTAGTTAAAACTCTATGACAGCAAACAGTATGCATTATATCTAAATGCATATATCTAAATAGTCCCATCCTTAAACTTCCCATTTATTTTATCCTCCTTTTGCTATGGAACAGGGTTTCAACATTTGCAGATGAAACAATTATTTAAATACAAAAAATAGAATAAATAAACAGTTGTAATTACAATTGAGCAAGGTTTCTGGAAACGAGATAAACTTAAAAAAATTCAAAGCATTTTGTCTATACCAGCAGCTTGAATGTATAATCAAACATAAGATACCATTCACAATGGCAATGAAAGCAATCCAGTATCTTCTTTATTCACAACAGCTATAAAGAAAAATGTAAAATTCTCCTAAAGGACATAGAAGGTAATTTGAATATGTGAAGAGACATTACTTTCTTGAGATGATTGCATTTTAGTATTATAGAAATGTCAGTTCTCCTAATTAATCTGTAAATTCAATGCTTCAGTTGGATTTCTCCAGAAACATGAGGAACATCATCTAAAACTTTTATTGAAGAATTTGATTTTGGGGGGGTCACTTCCATGAAAACGAGAAAAGTATGGCAAAAAATCCAGAAGAGGGAAGCCTTGACCTGATAGACGCTATTGTGTAGTTCAGTCGTTCAGCTGTGTCCGACTCTTTGCAACCCCATGGACTGTAGTCTGCCAGGCTCCTCTGTCCATGGAATTTTCCAGGCAGTAATACCGAGTGGGTTGCCATTTCCTACTCCAGTTACAGACATTAAAGCATACACAAAAGCTATTATAAGCAAAACAGCACAGTTCGATATATAAGGACAAAAACACAAGACAACTGGGGTGTCCTCGAAAGACCCATATGGAGACAGTACAAAAAATATGTCTTATTTAATCACTCTCGGTATCAAAAGACCCAAATTTGTGCTTTGAGTGTTAACTCCAGTAAATTTTCACAGCAGGTCAGCTGGGAGTCACACATGACAGTGTTCATCCTGGTGTTGTGTTTTTGGCCAGCAACCATAGACCTCCCTGGAGAGTGGGGAGAGACTGTGTATTGTGATGCGGAGGGTGCTTGCTTGGGCCCCTTGTCCTGCGGTCAGAAGCCATGTACTGTGTGTGTACACTGCCTCACACGTAGATCCAGACAGCAGTGCCGAGTTAGAATAGGTTAGAAGCTGAATGTAACCTTTTACACAAAACAGCTGTGCCCAGCATATGGCAGCACATGCAAGAAAAAAAAAAAGAAAAGAAAGAAGATACATCCTATAGACAGATGGAAACAGTGAGAGACTTTATTTTTTGGCAGCTCCAAAATCACTGCAGATGGTGACTGCAGCCTTGAAATTAAAAGACGCTTGCTCCTTGGAAGGAAAGCTATGACCAACCTAGACGGCATATTAGAAAGCAGAGACATTACTTTGCCAACAAAGGTCCCTCTAGTCAAGGCTATGGTTTTTCCAGCAGTCATGTATGGATGTGAGAATTGGATTCTAAAGAAACCTGAGCACCGAAGAATTGATGCTTTTGAACTGTAGTGTTGGAGAAGACTCTTGAGAATCCCTTGGACTGCAAGGAGATCCAACCAGTCCATCCTAAAGGAAATCAGTCCTGAATATTCATTGAAAAGATTGATGCTGAAACTCCAATACACTGGCCACCT